TTCATTGTGTGCGCCAGCGCTACAATCAGTGGCATCATATATGTCATCTCTACTTATACTGCAAAGAATAAAGAATTACTTGGTCAAACAGTTCAACTTATAATGTAAAATTTAAAATTACCAGCTGCGAACTGCCCAGGCATGTATCAAGATGAGCTACTAATGCAGAAGGCAGAACCCTCAAATCCAACTTGGACCTTGCGTCTATGCTCTTGAAACTGTTCGGAACAGTGTCTCCCTAATGTAATTCAGTTAGATACGGTTAATAATCCAATGAAGTCGTGTTGTATTCAACTTACCATTACTGTAAAATTAAGTCGACCACAAACAAAGTAAAAAGAAAGAGTTAAAAATCAAAGAAATGTTTGAGGAAAGAGTTTTATAGGAGGCTGATGTTCATATGAAAATGTGGTCAATATTATTGTCATCTGATGTACGATAAATAAATAGAGAGATTATAAGGTATAATAAGGATTTATTTCATTAAACACTGATGGCTACAGAAGAATACCCAAAGATCTCCTCTAGTACGAACGTCCAGAACTTGAGTTTGTAATCTTCCTCAGAGTAATTGTTGATATTACTCTGAGAGAAGAGGCTTTCCTTATGAAGATGCATGTTAAGACTGAAAAAATGAGACAATATTCTTAGTATATAGTTCAATTTGATTATTCTGCATGTGCTTACATTGAAAAACGTATACAAGGTAAATTATAACAAAAACATATCATTGCAAAAATGCTCTTTGGCCTATTCATTGTCTTCAGCTTTTTCCTCTCCCGCGAAGCCTGGAATTACCTGGTCTGAAGGCCAGATAACATCTGTACACCAGGCATCTCTTCCACTGGTAGATCTCAAGTCCTTTGCCAGCTTGCTTATGTGCTTGGTTCTTTCTAAATTGTTGATTTTATTTTTCAACTCTATGGCTTGCACCTAAACGATTAAAAAGTTAGCGTTCTCTTACGGTTTGAAATATAACATATACTCTTGCAAATGTGAGGATGTTTACTATATCCTCAATAGCTCCTTCTTTTATATGCTTCTTGTTGATAGGAAAAGAAAATGTCCCGATGTTGTCAAGGCAGTAGAGCTTAGGCTGGATCAGTCGTAGTCCAAGTAGTTGGCAGTCAAAGCCTATGATCAGCATGAACGGAATTAATATATTGTCTGTTTTCATCTTCTTGTGGTAGTAGTTGAGATGATGTTTTGCAACTAGCACGAGCTTCAACTTATCTAGGTGCACCTTTGCTACCTTGCATTGCTTGTCAAAATCGTCCAGACGTGCTGTTGACGGAGAAGAGATTACCCTTAGGTCCAAATTTGGCTCTGTATCCAAGCTTCTAAAGCTGTTTGGAACAGTATCCCACCTAGTGTTATTCAGTTGGATATGATTAATAATCTTGTGTTTGAAGCACAAGCGACTTCAGAAGAAGACATAAAGCATCTACTTCAGAAACATTGCTTGGCAAAATATAAAGCGAACCTGTTTTACCATTTGATTGTCACGGAAGAACTACCAAAGAATTCTTCCAAAATAAAAGACCAGAACTTCACTTTGTAATCTTCCTCTGAATAATTTTTTATTTGTCCATCGGAAAACAA